GAGGCTTGATTTCATCTTTGGACTTCCCGCCGATGGACAAGGCAAGACCGGGATTCTGGTTTTCGTGTGTCGGCTGAGCAGGGTGCACCATCTTGCTCCGGTGACCGCTGTACTCACAGGCGAACAGACCGCACAGCAGATTGTCGATGGCGTGTCCCGCTCGGCCTTCTCGAGACTATCGCCTCTTACCGAGATCCACCGTTCACCGCTGCGTTTTAGAAGACGCTGCTCTGTTTGCTGGGAACTTGCCTACAGATGACGGACGGCCATGCGAAGCGCGCCAATGGAGTGCTCGAGGACACTCTGCTCAGTGTTTGCGCGGGAGCCCCACGTATGTGGTCGACACAGCTCCCCTCCGCAGCCCTAGAGTGCCCCTCACTTTCGAGGAGACACCGCGTTCTCTATTTTAAGTGGGGGAGAGGATCGGAACGCCTTTACCTCCCAGGTCTCAGATGTGAGACCGGTTTTGCTACGGAAACAAATAAAGTCCTTTGTGAACACTAAGCTGAGGGTGATCAGCAGGGTTCGCGATGCAATGGAAGCGGCCCAGAACAAACAGAAGGAGTACTCTGATGAGCCTGGAAGAGAAAACGTAAATGAGCTCAAAGTGAGTACTCGACACTTGAAACATACCGCTAGACACTGTCAGCTCTGTCGGCAGTAACCAGCTGAAGCACCGCTACATGGGATCGCTCGCGGTCCCGGTCCTCGCCGCCAGTCCTAAGACCAAGTGCAATTTCAAGCACGAGGACGCGTTGACGGAGGTGGTCAACCTCAAGGCCCTGCGTCGGAGCTGCAGATCGAGGACTCGAGCGAGAAAAGTGTCCCAGAGTAGCCTGGTACTCGAATTCGTACGGGGGCACCTCCGCCCCTGCTTGACCGGAATGGATACTTTAACTACCACGTGAAGCGGGCTCTCCAGGAGCGGCGCCTTCTCTGAAAGCGCCAGATCATTTTGAAGTGGCGGTGTTATGCACACTCCGAGAGATCGTGGGAGCTGATTGAACGGCTCCAGGCCGACTGCCCGAAGGCTGGCGTGATCTGGGAACAGAAGAGGCAGCAGCTTCGTAGCTAGTCCGGAGGGCTTCTTGCCCGAACGAGGTACGGACGTTGACGACACTCCGTTCCCGCGCTCCAGAATGTCCCTTGACAGCATGTGGTTGCTTTTCAAGTGGGTAGACCGGACACGAGAATCGCGCTGGTCCAAGATGCGGGACAGCAGCTAATCCTTATCCAGTTCCTGTAACTCAGAGAATGAGTACTTGAGAGATCCAATCCACACAGAACATGTCTTCGAATGAGCTCCAGCTCGGACAGCTCCTGGGAAGGGCTCCAGGGCAGCCCCATACAGTGTAGATACCACCTCGGCTCTCAGGCGTCTTACGACAAGTCATGAATGCCTTGAGAGGGATTCGGTGCGGTGCGAGAGGCACCGCACCGCGCCTACACGTTGTCAGCTAACAACTTCTCCTTCTGGAGCAGGGCACGTTCGTAAACGGCCTTCGAATGGTGGTAACCAATAAAACCCACGAGGAGAAGCGAGTTTCTCCAAAACGAGGTCAGCCCCGGAGCTCTCCTCGAGAGGCTCATAAGCCTTTCTGGTAGATGACAGTTCCCTGGCTGATAGGTGTCGCCACTGAGCCCCCACGCATACGCTAGACAGCTTGGAAGTCCTCCTGCTGCCGGCCGAGGTCATTCGTGATATCCTGGGGCTCATCAATGGCACTTTCCTCCTCCTCCTCTTCATCCGAAGAATGGAAGCCATTCTAATTGGGTTGAGCAGTCTCCTTCTCCTCGTGGAGTGGGGACCTCGAAGCCATGCGCGTGGCCTCTTTGGCCGCTGCTTTAGCAGCCTGAGCACGTGCAAGGCCCTCGGCAAGCGAGAGATGCTTAAGAGGTTTCACTACCTCTTCATCGTCAGCTTTGAGAGAGCACTTAGCCTCGATGATAGGGATCTTAGGGCGCTCAGGCGTCTTATGATCGTGATCGCTGTGATCACTAGTGAGTAAGTGTATGCTGTCGCCGTCGTGCTCACTGGTCATCGGAGCGTGCCCTTTATCAGATCCCACAGGCTCACCGTGGAGGCTCCCGGCCTCGGCCTCGTCCTCACTCCCCAGTCTGATCTCACGGTATGTGAAGCGCGATTTCGGACGGTTGTCTACAACGACCGAAGGTGACGGACCGCGTCGTTTTCTTGCGCGCTTGCTCGCAGCTGTGTGACCGGTCGATCGACCGCTTCCGAGCCACCTAAGTAGCCTCCAGAAGCGCAGACCTGCGAGGCTTAGTGCTCTTGGCTTGCACCTTTTCGGCAGCAGCCTTGGTGTGTGCTTTCGCACCGCTCTGAGCAGTGATACGGGGCATGATAAAAGGTCGAAGTGAGAACCGATAAGAAGAGCGCTTGCGTGCTGCTCGAAACGCTAACTGTGAAGTGAGCCACAGCCGCGTTCTCGCAGTCAAGTCGATGTCTTTCGACTTTGAGAATGAGAGCTTGTGTCATACCCCTCCTCATTCTGATTGGTCGGAAAACCGAACCTGAGTAGGGGAGGGTGTAACGAGGTACGGACCAAGTGTACAGATTACATAAAAGTGGGACGTGTCACTCTTCGGGATACCTGAGGCCAATTATTGGTTGATGACATAGCTTCATTATATATGACTTATAGTCTGTTAACTGACCTTTAGTTTAGCCTACCCATAAATGCATTCAGTTTGCAACTTATCTTTAACTGGTTACTTCGCTCCCTTTGACAAGGGAGTTCAGGGAGTTCACTTAAAGTTTGTAAACGCTCGGGAGCCGACTTCCGGTGTTGAGTACTGTAACCCCGTCATAACAGGGCACGCCATCACAATATAAGTGTACAGCAAACCCCACTGACGTAGCTTAGCGCACAAAACTATCCCTGAAACCAAACAAAAGGCCAGCTAAAACCATCAAGATGAAAAAGAGACTGATGTAATACCCATACAAGCCTTATCGGGAACCCCAGCCACTTTGTCCTTGCAGATTTACTCACTCTCACGCGATTTGTCATTGTTAAATGGCGGTCGATCTTCATTTAAATCCCAAGGCACTCTGGTCGCATTAGTTATTAATCTACCAGCTCTAGACTGATCGACCAACCAACGCCTTCTACGATCGTAATATGCGCGTAGTCGGAGCTAAATACACTCAATGGTGGACGTTGACAGAGATACAGCGATCGATGTGCTCGGTCTAAAAAGGGGTAAGAGGAGGGATTTCTATGCTCGAATTAGCGCCTGAATAGGACAAAAGAGGGTGGTGATTACAATAATTTCGACCTGTTTTTTTGTAAGGGCTAGTTCGAGCGTCGGGGTAGTAAAATGGAAGATCGTTTGGGCAGCTCTTCCCACATGCCCTTTTTAACTACTCGATTAGCCAATCAGATCACTGCGTGGAGGCTGACCCCTAATAAAATTAATCAATAACATTCGTGGCCACGCTGAGTTTGATTTGCATTTTGTAAGACACGTATTTTCTTTCAGCCTAAGATTCTTCATTTGTATAAGTGTACGGTACATATGCTATACAGTAAACTAATCGGAGAAATACACATAAAATTTACAGGTACTTAAGTTTGTGTATTTTCTTCGATTATAATAGTAAACTGCCCTAGGGCAACTCCAAGACCATTCCCTGACTTTGATCCATTGATAACGACAGCGATGGTGACAAGCAGTGCTTTGCTTTTTTGGCTCACAACGGTACGTGGCTGCGCTGTAAGCTGTCGTCCACTATATACAATTTTGTTACCAGAATCGTCTCTATCCGAGAGGAAGGAGACCTACCTACTCTGAGACTCAAACATTTTTTTTCTTCTTCATTCAAGGAAGCATGAGCCTTTCCAAAGTTGGTACACTCATTGTAGCCATTGTCCTTCTGGTTGGCGTGTGCACCAGTGCGATAACCGTTGAAACGACCAAGCGTACAAAACATGCCGCGACGTTCCCGAGGTCCCACAGTACTGCTGGGAGAAATCTTAACACCGAGGAGAGAGGGATCAATTTCGACACGATAGCTGGCTCAACAAAGCTTCGAGTGAATTTTAATTCGCTTGTGGACAAAATAAATCTCCATCTTTGGCTAACGCACGTGTTTAAAAAGATGAATTTTGCGTCGGCCTGTTATCAGACCCCATGTTCCTGATATGGCTAAAGTATGCGGATGATTTGAACAGCAAGAAGCCCGAAGCAAAACGTGCATTTGAAGCATCAGTGCTAACCAATCAATACAGTGACGGCCACCTCTCAGCAATGTCTGCTTAATGCAGCCGTTATTAATAAATCAAGACACGAAGGCTCTTGCGCTTCAATTGCAGGCCGAACGATTGAAGGATTGGAAGCATCGCATTGTTCACCCATTGGATGTCTTCAATTTACGCGATCTGGAAAGGCACGGCTTTCTCGTGAACCCCGTTTTAACTTCTTGCTTGAAAAATATAATGGACGAAACCCCGCAACAATAATCGAAACCGTAGGAGAAAACGAAAGCTATTTTCACAAAACTGGAGAGTCAGCTGTTTGCATAAAGGGAAAGGAGTAAGATTTTACTCTCCAACAATGGGGTCGATTCTGTCGGATCCTGTATTGAAATTCTAAGTCAGGTAAATCATGAATGAGTTGAACGTCATGCTCGTCGAAGCGAAGAAAGTGCCGAAGACGAGAACGACCGCTAAGAGAATGGAATCGTAGCTGTTTCTGAAATGGCAACGGGGGAAGTTGCACCCGCATATTGTTGTCCGGTGGATGAACGCGGATGGATCCAATGAAATGCTGGCCACATACACGAGGTTATATAGTGCGAGATATGGCAGAAATTTACCTCGCCTTGAATTAAAAAGGCATTTGTCATTTGAAGAAACCGCTACAGCTTTTACCTAAGAAAAAACATCTTTTGATAATGCTCGCTTCTTTGACAGAGCTCAATACTTTAGTATTAGATTTTATTAGAAATCAGCAAGATGCTTGACCTCACTACAGTATTATCCTGGAATGAGTTTAGTAAACGACTGACGTGGGGATGGTGAGTCGGTGTGACTACTAGTATTGGTGTTGCTTTGGGGTAGAGCACCAGCGATGCGTGAGCGCATGATGAAGCCAAAACGCTTCACCTGGCGATACTTGACAATGGCTACACCTTCGTGTCCTGTTCTCGTCGTGAATGCTGCAGACGCCTGGAGGTAATTATGGAGCGTGTCTAGCTTATCCTCCAGAGAGAAGAGTGGCTGAGGCAAGAGACCGCCACTTTCCTCTGTCTGATCCTTCTTCTTGTTGTCAGCTAGAGGTGCACCCATTCGAGCGCATATGAAATGGTGGAGACGTTGCGCTTCGTCTCGTTCTTGTTGCCAGTGAGGCCTGGGAGGTTCAAGTCGCCTGGTTGGCGACCCACAGACGTTGGGAGTTCGTTTCTCGTGCTTGCTCGGTTCGACCTGCACACACCAATCATGTGCATGTTCGAGATGAAGCCATTTACCGATAGGGAAGACACAGAGCATCGCACACTTGAGCGAGTTCGACCGCTTCAGACTCATCGCATACGCCCCAGCCTCCACCTCAGAGGTGCAACGAGCATGCACGGCAAGGAACGGCTCAGCATACGGCGAGTTGCTGACCTCACGTTGTGATAGCACCACACTCGTTACAGCGAACCCACTCTGGACAGGAGACGAGACACTGCTGACTGGGTCGACTGCCGTTCCTGGAAGTATTACGTGAGCTTCATCACAGCCACGTGGAGTGACTTTAACCTCCTGAAACGATGCGAAACTTGCGGCCTGCAACGCACCAACGGGCTCTTCATGAGGTAGCGCTCTTGCCTTCGGACTGACGTTGCCAGCGCTTGTCATCTCTTCAATCTGCTGCATCTGCAGCCTCTCCTCGTCCACTTTGGAGCGACCGGCACGAGGCATGAGCGCGAATGCATTAAGAGGCAAAGCGTAGTAGTTGACGCTGGTTCTTTTCGAATCACTCTCCAGACTCTCAGCAGCATCGCGAACTGAATTAAGAGACCGAGCAGACAGGAGAATCTGAAAAGCTGGCGTCTTCTTGGACACATCCGCATCTTCCGATCTCTCCTCGGGGTCCTCATTTCGAATGGCAAACAGCACGATGTCCACCTCATTTGTGCTTTGACAGCGCACTTTATGCAATCGTGAGGGCGACACGGCAGATAGTTTACTAACTGCTACTGGACTGCTGGCCTTGGACTGCAACATTCTGGATCGCCGAGCATCGTGTCCTTGAAATCTGGTCCTTTTCGGGCAAGAAAAGATAAAATTCTCTTGTAGAAGGTGACTCAGAGCCTGAGGAGTAATTTTCATACTTCTACTTAGAGGCCTCGTGACAGGGGAAGGCTGACGTAGTGGTGACTCGGATGCCTCGTCTCCAGTACCTGCTAATACTGTGGTAGTGTCAATACTGTTGACAGTTTCTGGCTGTCCACTCTCCAATTGTTTCGGAACGCGGTTGAAAGATGGTCCGCTCTGCTTGTCAACAACTTTAATGTCGAACAAAGCCAGAGGATTTCCCTCTTTCAAGACTTCAGCTTGTCGACGCTCTTCAGCAGCCAAGGCGCCATCCAATTGACGCTGTCGAGCAGAACTGGGAGGCGCCTCGGCGTTGAATGACGTCACGTAATTGCCCAGAGTCGGTTCTTGATTAAAAACTTTCTTCGTCGCCCTCGTCTCGGGGGTCAACAGTAACAACTCGTTGGCTGCGACTAGAGCCTGCCTTGCGCTGTTCGTAGACGCAGAGTCATTCGCGTCGTCCTTCCTGCTCAAAGAGGGCATAACCAGTGCAGGTAGCTTGACGCTCGCACTGGAATCGGAAGATATTGACGTGTTGCCGGTCGTAGCTTGACGTCGGACTCGGTCACGTGAGACTTTTTTTGCAGCTTTCCTCTTGGCTACAGCTGACGACGGCAGTATCTTTTCGATGCGTTCGTGGTTAACGTGGTCTCGTAGCACCTTCTGCTTGTAGTTTTCCCACTTTTGCGTCTTGTGGAAGCGATCCAAGTACACGATGCTCTCGGCGTGAGAGTGAGCTGCCGCGCGTAGCGTTTCTCGAGCTGACCGGGATAGTCGATGGAAAACGTCGTATTTCGAGAGCAGTAGGACCTCAACGGGAGTACTTGCACTCACAGTCACCTCTCGATGGATCACTTCGTTGAAATTAACGCCACCAGCTCTACGAGAACAGATAGAAACAAGTTAGTTTGTACATGGCTACATTTGTGTTAACAAATATGGCTACATACGCTTCGTCGCCAACCACACGGAACCGACCGATGCGTTCCACGAAAACCTCGTGCTTGACCTGTGTAAAGGGGTCTGTGATTTGCTTGGTGACAACCAGTTCTCCACGAACTACGAAATAGACGTGCAACGCGCGATCCCCCTGTCGGTAGAGCACACTACCCGTGGACAATTTCTGCTCTAGTAGAACATACGACAGCTCTTTGAGCAGCTCTCCAGTCCATTCAGGCGTCTGGAACATCGGTATCTGATCCAAAACTCCCACTCGCTTCGCCATATCTTTCTTCTGCATGCGACGCAGAGTCATATTGTAGTCTTTTTCACAAATTACCAAAAGTTGACACTCTTCACGAGTGATCACAGTAGCGCTGCGTACACCTCTGCCTTTCATGAGCGCCAGCTCTCCAAAGTGAGACCCTTCTGTGAGGTTGATAAGCTTGGTCATCTGCGTGTTCCCCTTAAAGTCCTTGGAGTTGATATTCACATCCACCGACCCGCTAAAAATGATATAAAACAAGTCTCCAACTTCCCCCTCGCGGAACACACAAGCACCAGCCGGCAGAGTGAGGAAGTCCACGACGACGCAGAGCTCGCGGACGAAAGATTTCGGTAAGCTTCGGAAGAATTTGAGCGTCTGAAGATACTCACTGAGCATGTCGATGTCGGCCTTGGAGCGCGCATGTTTCTTTTTCGTTAATACTTTAACATACTCGCGTTGTGACTTCTGCGCCGTACGCTGGACGCCGATTCCATTCGCGATCTGCATTCGAGACAGGAACTCGAGTTGGTCGTTTTTCAGCATCAAGTTGTAGTCATTTCGAGTGATTTTCACCAGCTCGGTGGCTGTTTTGGCCAATACAGTGGCAGCACGAGCGTCGTTGTTAAGAAGAGAGCGTTCGCCGAAGTAATCGCCTTTGCTCAGCTCACATACCGTGACTTCTACGACTTCACCGAGGATACGCTGACTCACGCGAACTTTAACTGTACCGGAGAAGACGATGAAGAGTGCGTCGCCTTCGTCTCCTTGTCGGAACACCGTCTCGTCTGGATGGAAAGTTACGCACGTCATTCGTCGACAGAGCAGATCAAGCTCCGAAGGTTGGAGACGCTCGAAATCGGTCGAGATTTTAAGCTTCGTGGTCTGGAACCACACACCGAGCGACTGTAGATCCATCTGAGAGCGCTGTTCGCAGTCTTGAGCTAGTGCTCGACGACAGGACTCTTCTAGTATAAGTGTGCGACCGTAAAGTTGATGACCTTTGGCTGTATCGTCCAAGTCAAAGCCCGAGTGGACTCCGTTGTGATCCTCCACAATGTCCTCGTCTTCCTCGTCCTCGTTGTTGTCTCTAGTGTCCATTACTGCCCCTTCTTGACCCTTGTCATGCTGCTGTCTGCGTAACGAAGATAACTTAATCCAGTGTGCCATCACACTGGATTGCTCCGTCGGGACAGCTGCCGCTCGTGTGAGCTGCTTGGCTGCAAGTGCCTGTTGCACTAAATTCTTCATTTCTCTACTTTTCAACATCTGAGCGAGCGAAATGCGCTTGTCAGTAGAGTTTCCGGTGGTCTCAACGCCAAGTCCAAGGCCGTCGCCTAGTCGTGTGACTTTACGGGCCACGCTACTCATCACTGAAGTCCACGGGTCTTTCTTCTCGACTGGCCGAGTGGGTTGCTGACTGACAGTTTCTGTGTTGCTCTGCAGCTTGTGCATCCTCATGATGGAGTGCGCTGCTCGACTGAAACCCTTAGGGCCATCACCTAATTCTTCATGTGTCTTTACTCCCATGGAGTGCGTCGTAGTAGCCTCACGAACTTCGGACTCATCTGAAGTTTCTCCAGCTTCGCTCTTCGCTGTTTTGGCTCTCAGAGCCACCTTCACGGCAGAAATTCGACCACGAGTAGATCGCCCTCCTCCTTTGCCGCGTCCTTTAGTAGGCGTGGACGGAATCATGATACCACAATGCAAAAAAAAAGTCAACTTCACGTCAACTTCTAATAATACGCTTCATGGCTACATGTAGCCATTTCGATATAGAACCTTCAATATCGGATACCTTTTTTCAGCCAATAAAGCCGCACGAATCTACAATTCCTTCCAGACTTCATGTCGTTGGAGGACTCTGCGCCCACCGCTCCACCTCCACAGGCCGCCAGAGAAGCCCAGAAGACGCCACAAGCTGCGATGGACACAGTAACAACAGGAAGTAAAAATGGACCTAGCCCACCCAAACAGCGCACCAGCCACCGAGCAGCTGCCGCTGTAGCCAACGCGTTCATGGCTGCACAAGCGCAAGAAGAAGCGGCTCCCTTGGGCGTCGTCATGGCTAAAGCTTTCAGTGCTAAACCTGCAAAACATAATACAATAGAGTCCAGCAGTGCTCCAGCTCAAGAGCAGCACAATAACTTGGGTATGTTGCTCTGTGCCGCCCTGGGGGGCGAAGACACGAAGAAACGAGCCACCGAGTCGCTCCCTCCAGCTCCAAAGCGAGCCAAAGTCTCGAGTAAGTCCAACAAGGTGGAGGTCAGAGGCAAGAAGCGACGCCAAGCGCCAGTATACGACGCAGCTCCCATGGAGGCGTCGCCCATCATCACAGACCTCCCGCCACTGCCCTTCACGACGCCGGATGTAGCCAAGAAGAAGTATAAGATTCGAAAGGTCGCGCCGCTCAAAGAGAGCGACAGCGAGGACTCTCGCCACTGCGAGTTCTGCAGGAAACGAGCCAACATCTGCGTGCTGCTGCACTGCCACGCGTGTCGCCGCGCGTATCATGCCGGCTGCTTCGTGCACGCCTTCAAGGCGCTCGTGGACGCGGAGACGCCCATTCTGGACCAAATGGAGCGTCTGCAGCTGGAAGCGCCCGAGAGACGAGGCAACATTTTCCGCTGTGCGTCGTGCAAAGCGGCCTTTCTGGACTTCTACGAGAGCGACGGCTACCTCTGGCACTGCGACTGCCCCACGTGTGTGGAGCCCGACAAGAAGATTTTCTACCGACAGCGGAAACTGGTGCAGATGATGAACGAGATGGAGCTCGAGAAGCAACTCAAGAAGGAGAAAAAGGGACAAGGCAAAGCTGCAACAGCCAAAACGTCGACGTCGACGCCTCGTGGGACCAATTTATCGTCCCGAAGTCGACGCACAAGAGGCGGCAGCGCTGCGTTGGACGAGCAGGTTGTCGCCTCTCGAGCGTCTCTAGAAGCTGTGGAGAAGGAGAGCAACGACGAGAAGACGAAGGAGCTGAAAGTGGACGAAGGTGGACAGGAAGCCGAGACGCTGCGTCTCCCAGCTGAGACTGAAGACGCTTTTGCGCTGTCCGGCGACGCGCTGGTTCAAGCTGTGCGCGTGGCACACGACGACAGGAGCGGGGCCTGGACGTTCCCAGTCATGAGCTCGCGCAGCTCGAGTCTCCACGCGTCTGGCATCATGAAAACGGGCACTTGCCGGTGGTTTGTCAAGAAAGTGGCCTCGGTGCAGTGCGACTGCTGCCACCGACTGTTTCGCTTCCCAGAGTTTGTGCACCACACGGACAGCGCGTTAGTGCGAGACGCCAAGTGCGCGGACGAAGACCCGATGCCGTTTCTATTCGTCGAGCATTGCGACAACACGCAGCATTCGCCTCTCGAGGAGTTCCAGGCTGCGCTACGCAGTTGGGTGGGGCGTCAGAGTGCGAGCAACACGCCGACTAAGGCGCCTAACAGTCGGAACTTAAATCCGGACGCACGCATTGACACACCGACGACGCCAGAGCCAGAAGTGGACGCAGCCATGTCCAGACTACGCACGCTGGCGCTGTTCAAGCGTCGGAAGCACCGGAGCGACAAAGTGTCTACAGCCGCGCGTCTGACTGACCAAGAGCCGATGGATTTCGTGGCTCAAGTCGTGTGTCTGTCGCCAAAGTACGTCATGAACATGGCGGACGGAGCTCTTGCCGACCGTGTGGTGCGGTCCAGAACAGCCGTTCCGGACGGCTCGTTCCCGCGCAAAGCCGGCTGGCTGACGTTCAATAGCAACGGCCTCAAGGCGCGCCAGATCACGTGCGTCTGCTGCGAGAAGAGATTCGTCTGCGAAGAGTTCGTCAACCACGCTGGCATCTCGCAGACGGAGCTGAAGAAGACGCCCCGCAAACTTTTGTACGTCGTGGAGCGTCAGGACGAGTCGGCGTTGATGCCGTACATGACGTTTGCAAAAGACCTGGAAGCTGCAGCCACCAATAAGGTGCTGGATGCGCTGCTCGATGGGCTGCAGCCGCCACCTCCGTCCCCTCGACCACTCGAGCTATGACAAGACTAAGGATTAAGATTTTACTTTAAGAAATGCACACTGACTTTGGGTTGTGTACAGCCGGTTTCGTACCAAAGTCTACGAAAGCATTTTTTGTTCTTTCACTAGGGTGTTTATTAAGAAAAAAAAAGAAGTTGAATTGACTGGTAATTATAACGAAGCGGGCTCTATAGAATGCAAGAGCGCACCCAAAAACACTGCTACTTCCGATGCTGTGCGCGTTGGGCGTTTGGATTCCTCTCGTTGAATATCTTAATATATATTCGTCTTCTTCACCAGTCATCGATAACTTTTAAAAGCGCAGAAACATCGGACTTACTTGGTCACTTGGGCAATGACCGTCTACTGTAGGCCAACGGACTTCTCCATCGATTCAACTTTTCTTTTTTGCAAACTTGTCGGCACTTACAAGATCTTTTGACACTTCCGCTTCTGTACATACATGTAAGCATCTGGAGCACCGGCGCTTCGGGATTTTCAAAATGAACTGGGAGGTATACGACGAGAAAATCCTCAAACGACCGCTCTTAAACGCATCAGCTACATTTTCCTAGCTCTAGTCTCGTCGGGCTGGAGCTTATTCTTTAACCATTTCTTGACAACGGCGGCCATTTTCTCGAAACTGGTACTTGGACTGTGTCTTACAGCGGGTAATCCTGATCGATTTAAAACCCTCGATTAATAAAACGGCCTCTATTTATTAAAAATCGTGCATCAGGCTAAGTGAAAAGGACTAAAGTCCACTTTTTTTAAAAAAAATACTTCTGTACACCTCATACTGCACTACACCCGGGCAAGACCATCTCGTTAGGAGAAAAATTAATATCGCAAGTCGCTACGGAGACGATGCCGTGATACAAGTACCGAACGAGAATAGGGACAAATTTAAAAAATACGGCGTTGACAAACCTAGATTCAAGGCTATAATACGGGATGGACATTCCATCTGCAAAGCGCAAGTAGTTAATGCGGTACAACCGTGGTCGAAAAGTGCTATTGAACGAAGTAATAGGAAACATTGGTGCAAGAATATTACCGGTATTGCTATCTGTAGGAATAGATATCATTGGTACCAGAATATTACCGGTATTATTTTTGTTTGTTTTCAATGATCCGCTTTTTTGTGTAACACAAATTGTGTTCGTTGCCAGCGAATCGTCGATACTGTACAGGTAAATCATGATCGGAGGTACCATCCCAAATCGATCTTGCTACCCTGGCTCCGTACATGAACCAGTACCGGTACCATACACATGAAATGATTATGGTGCGGAACCAGGGTATTCAAAGCAAGATAGATTTGGAATACATGTACCAGGTACAGTAACGAGCCTCATTTCTTGAAAGATTCTATGGCCGGGCCATAGCATCTTTCAAGAAAAAGTCCTACGGTACTACAACGTCTGGCTGGCTCTCAACTTCTGGTCCTATCTGAAAACCTTACCAACCATTGGTTGGTACAGTAAGGTTTTCAATTATTTATTGTATTAAAGCATCATTTTGTTGGGTTTTGATTTGCTTTTAGGCATACTTCATCTGGTACAGCTGGTCGTAGTTTTCATACATCTTCCTGATCGCATTGTCCTTCGACGTCCCCTCCACACGAAGCCATTGATAAACATTGGTGGGGCTTTCTCTGTTGTACATCCAACGGAGCGTGAAAGCATCCAGTAAGTCAGTAGCCATTGTCTTCGTGCTGGAGACCTCGCTTGCCTCAACGAGCATCTTTGCTAGAACACCATCGTCTTTGTAGTGCTCCTTCAAGATCGCGAGCATGTTCACTTTCTGCTTCGGTTTTCTTCGCCTGAAGTAGTCGACGTACTGCCTCCAAGTATCGAGAATTGGACTATCAAAAAGCCTTTCCCCTGTTTTGTCGAGCTGCAGTCGTTTGAAGACGTAACTCGGGGCATTTCCTTGCTTATACCAGTTTTCAAGTAGCTCACGCTGCAATTGACTCGCCAAGCTCTCTGTGCTCGGGTTCATGCTCGCTAGAGCAAGTATACTTGCCAGCTTATCATTCGGGTAATTCTTCGTCAAGGTCGAAATCACGGGGAATGTTTCCTTGTGATACATCAAATTGTAGTAGTCCGTGTATTTCGTCCATGCAACAAAGAGCGGGCTCTCCAGGAGAGCATCTCCGCCCATGTCCAGCTTTAGCAGCTTGAAGATAGCGTTGGGGGATTTCTGTATTGACAGCCACGCGTTCGTCAGGTCAGCCTGGACTCGCACTGCAATTTTCTCCGTAGCTGGAACCTTCTGCGCAGCGATCAGCATATCCACCAGAGTTTGCTCGTCGTATTTCTTTAACATTGAAAACAGAGTCGTCTTTTGCTCAGGGTGAGCCTTGTTGAAAGCGTCCACATACTTCGCCCAAGTAACCACCTGAGGCTGCTTGAACAGCTTATCTCCCGCGTTGTTAAGCTTCAGTAGCTTGAACACGACGTCTGGGGACTTCTCGTAAGCGATCCAACGTTGAGTTTGCTCGGTCTGTAATCGCTTCGCGATAGTCGCTGTGGCTGGGACCTGCTTCGCTGCTTCGATTATCTTGGCTACACCGTCGTCGCCGTAATGCGAAGTGAGAGTCTTGATTAATGTTGTTTGCTGCTTCGGGTTCTCCGTATTAAATTTTTTCATGAACTTGATCCAAGCTTGCAACTGAGGGCTTGCTAAGAGAGTTTCGGCTGCATCATCGAGTGTGAGCAGCTTGAAGACGTCATCTGCGTTCTTTCCTCCATTAAGCCACGACATGAGCTGTTCATTGGTAGTTGACTTCAGCGAGTTGGATAGTGATTCTACACTGACACCGGATACCCCCCTCTCCTCGTCTAAGTCGTAGTATGAGGTCTTGCCCGCCCTCAAAAGCCTCTTGGTGGAGATGTGGTGACTATCAATACTTGAGAGGGGATTCGGCGTGACCATCGAGTATTTCGCTAGACACGAAGTTGAGAGTGAGATGGCAGCCAGAAGCAGCAGTCGCGTCTTGAGATGTAACATGTCTGCGCTCGAGCGCAAGGAATGGGAAATGCGAAGCTAGAGAGAGAGAGAGACACCGCGACCACAAAACAATTGTCTCTGACAGAAACTGTAGACAGTATGGACAGAAACTGGAGACAGTATGGACAGTACATTCTGGACAGAAACTGTAGACAGTATGGATATCACAGTACATTCTATACCGGTATTTGAACTGTGTATCTTTTCACGGTATAAAGAATGGCTCATTGTTTAATTCGTTTTAACCACTTGATTTAAGAATGGTTTCGCATCTCAAGGCCAATCAAAAAACGACTTAAGTTTCTTGTTACCGATGCAGCGTAAAATGAAAAGTGAGAATCAAACTAAACTAGCCCTCTACATCCTTCCTGCACTGCCTACTGCAACACTCGAATTCTAGAAGATTGGAATGACTCCGAATGTTCGATGACACAGCAAGTTCCCTTTATGTGCACCACACAATCCTGTGACGTGGTGCAGACTTCAACACTCCCCCTCAACTTGCTCTTCTTGCACTTGGTTGTTCACAACTCCGCTCGATCTCACGAGAGCAATAAACTGAGGAGTCGGTAGGGGCTTCGTCATGTAGTCGGCCAGCTGGAGCTTGGATGGCACGTGCTCGAACTTAATTGTCTGCTTTTGAACGTGATCACGGACGAAGTGTACACGAAGATCAATGTGTTTGGCACGAGGAGTGTACCCGCTGTTGGTAGCCATGCTTATAGCAGCCTTGTTGTCAACTAGCACCGTCGTAGCGCTATGGATCTTGACTGTCATCTCTGTCAGTAGCTGCCGCGCCCATAACACCTCTTGAACCGTGACGACGACTGCCATATACTCAGCCTCAGCTGATGACAGCGCGACTGTAGCTTGTTTCTTGGCCTTGAACAAAACTGGTCCACCACAAATTTGAACTAGCACTCCAGAAGTTGAACGGCGCGTAGCTAAATCACTGCCCCAGTCAGCATCGCTAAATGCGACCATTTTAAACTCGGTAGCACGCATGTACTTGATTCCAGTATAAGAGGTCCCCTTGAGGTAACGCAGCACTCGCACCGCAGCTCTCCAGTGCATTTCGCACGGATTTTCAAGATGCTGAGAAAGAATACTGACAGCGATGCAAATATCGGGTCTAGTTGCATTTGCAACGTACAGTAACGAGCCGACAAGCTCCCGATACGGGGTTTTTGAGTCCAAACGAGGGTGTTCGTCACTGGCACGTAAGTCTTGACCGACTACACTTGGGTTTCGAACTGGGTATGCACTCGCTTGCCCAAAACGCTCAAGCATCCGCAAAATATACTGCGACTGGCCCACGAACAGCCCCCCCTTCTTTAGGTCATAGTGAAGCTCCATCCCAAGGATGTATTTTGCATCTCCTAGTGACTTCAGCCGGAAATGCGTACTTAAATTCGCAGCAATACTTGACGCCTCCTCTGCTTTAGCACAACCAATAAGCAGATCGTCCAAGTACAAAACGACAAACACCGGACCGTGTGAGCCAACACGAACAAAAAGACACGGCTCTGATCTGCACTGCTTGAATTCCATTGCGAGAAACACTTGACGAATCGTCTTGTGCCAAACTGCTGCTGCCTGTTTTAAGCCGTAAAGGCTGCGACGTAAACGACATACCATGCCATCTTGAGCTCGAATCCCTTCCGGTGGCACCATGTACACTACTTCTTCTAGATTGCCGTTTAAGAATGCTGTCTCCACATCGTATTGCTTCACCACGAAACCAAGCTGGCAACAAACCGCCAAAAATATGCGTACAGTGTTCAAATTTGCAACAGGCGAATAGGTCGACGTGTAATCCACCAAACGTCTGAAAACAACCGAGAGCAACCAGTCTCGCCTTGTATCGGATAATGTTGCCATGTTCATCTCTTTTGAGTGCAAACACCCACTTATGGCCAATGACTCGCACACCTGGGGGGCGATACACCAAGTCCCAAGTGTGGTTTCTCGCATGAGCACGAATTTCAGCACGGCAAGCCTCCTTCCACTTGGCGGCATCAGGTGACTTCATCGCCTCCATAAACGAATTGGGAACTGACTCAACAGCAGAGAGGGCGATTTCGTATCCATCATCAATTCTTGGCCGTTTAGAGTCAGGTTCAGCAGTACTTTCATCCGACGAGTAGCCGTTTCCACGTTCATTGTCTCCATTTTCCAGTAGTAGCGACGCAGCATCATCTTGACTGTTCCGGGCTTGGCTCGGAGGTAACGCCAGATACCTGGACGGTGTTCTCGAGCTGGCTGACGGAGGTCCAGCCTCTAGAAGGCGGGGTTGGAACTGATTCGAAATACGAGCTTGGCGTGGTCTAGTCGGGCCAAATACCAGATTATCGCTCAACGAAGTATCCGGTCGACGCACTGCTTGAGATAGTGTTGGTACTACCGCCGTGGACTCTAGCGATGACGGCTGCGCGAGTTGACGAGTAGAAACAACACTTGAACTTAAATGTGATGGTAGCATCGGTGCGTGTCTTTCATCTCCCCCTCTACGAGACAACTCGTGTCCGCAACGCTGCACTTGAAGTGACATATCCGGCGCGTCGTCAACCTCCATATCCACCGTAGCATTATTATCCTCCTCCATGTCAACATCAGTCTCACCATCAGTATTAGCAGGAGGTGAAGACTGTCGCTGCAACGCATTTGCATCATCGTCAATCACCATTGGAGCTTGTTGTGTCGTGTGAATCACAGTGTGATAGCTATCAACTGGGCGTTCATCCAGTGCAACCGTCCTCGTCGTCACTAGTCGCTCATCCTCACAGTCCCAGACTCGATACGCTTTTGATCCTGGCGCATATCCGAGGAAAATGCAGCGATGCGCTTTAGCGTCCCATTTGCTCCGACGTGACTTGTCAACGTGTACAAAACCTTTCGCTCCAAATACGCGGAGATGGCTGAGATCGGGCTTGACACCGGTGAAAACTTCAAGTGGAGTGCTCTGTGGCCGTGCGGTGTTAGGAACACGGTTCACAATGTATGCTGCCGTACATACCGCTTCGCCCCACCATCCTCGATCGAGACCGCGATGATAAACCATTGACCGGGCCATTTCAACAAGAGTGCGATTCTTTCTTTCTGCAAGTCCATTTTGCTGTGGGGTGTGCGGTGTCGATGTTTGATGGACGATACCGTAAGCCACAAAGAGTTCCTCAAAGCGCTTGTTCACGTATTCTCCACCATTATCGCTTCTCAGGCAGCGAATCTTGCAACCAGTCTGCGTCTCCACTAACTGCTTGTACTCTTGAAATCGCAAAAACACCTCCGACTTCGCCTTCATCAGGTAAATGTGCACGAACCTCGAATAGTCATCGACAAAAGTCACCACGTACCGGGCTCCCCCTTTCGAAAGAGGCTTCATGGGGCCCATGACATCCGAGTGAACAATGTCGAGTAAGCCTTGGGTCTTCACTGTGCTGCCAGATTGTCTTGAGAACGGATTCACAGTCATTTTTCCACACGAGCACCCAACGCATGGCTCTCCGCTAGTCACATCACTCACCGTAAAAGAAGGAATCCCGCTTGCAGCTCGCGACGCCAGAACGAGCTTCTTCTTGGATACATGGCCATCATGCCACAGTTCTTCAGTAGGCACCAACGCAGATGCAGCAATTTCCGCTGCTTCATCTTCGGGTTTAATCAATGTCACGCTCAACACAAATAACTTTCCACACTTTCTCACGTGTGCAACCACCTTGTCACCAAAACGAATGCTACAGCCATCTCCATCAAAACTAATCGCTGCTCCTTTTGCCACAAGAGATGGAATTGAGAGCAAGCGCCTGTCTAAATCAGGCACATAGAGAACTTCAGTCACCTTGATCACATCCATTTCCAACAGTAAAACGAACCACTCCAGTCCCAACAGCACGCAGTCGTTGGCCACTTGCGACCACAATATCCGTCGGTTCTTGCAATGCACGGAGCTCATCAAAATCAGAACGATCATGCGTCATATGCGAACTAGCTCCACTATCCAAAATCCAGGCAGGTGAGGTTTCCGTCGACGCAGCAAATACAAATTCATCACGGTCATCACTATTGGCGAGTCGCGGGCATTCACTACGCCTGTGTCCATACTGGTGACACTCAAAACACTGACCCGAGAAACCTGAGCCTCCGCGACCCCCACGTCCTCGTTGACTTCCGTCGCCACCACGACCACCAGCACGTAGACCACCGGCTCCTCGACTACCGGCTCCTCGACTACCGGAACCTCGACCACCGGAACCTCGACCACCGGAACCTCGACCACGACCACGAATCCCTGACTGTGGCCACTTACTACGCCCATTGTTTCCTTGTCTGCCAACATGAGCATCTTGCTACACTGCATTAAACGCTTCCTCTTGCTTGTCACGCTTCCGCAGCGTCTCAAACTCGCGGCGCAACATCTCTTTCGCATCAATCAACGTTACCGACGAATGAGCCTCAATAATTTTCACCATCGCGTCATATTCACTCGACAAGCTCCCCAGGAGGATCACCAACTTCTCATATCACTTAAATCGTCACCAACAGCAGATAGTCGTAAACAGAGGTCGTCAAACTTTAACAGGTGATCCAGCAAATCCGATCCTGGGGCCATTTGAAATTCATGCAGCTGCTTCCGAAGCATCACTCGGTTGTGCAAATTCTTCTTGACAAAAAAATCGCGTAGCGTCTTCCACGCTTCTTTAGCAGACGAACATTCTCGAATCATCGTCTGATAGACTGGGCTCAACAGCTTGGAGATCACAGCCAGCGCCTTAAAGTCGGCGGCTTTCCACTCAGCAGTCTCCCGCTTCGCTGCATCTGCTGGCTTCATCCCCGTAAGATCTTGTACATGCTCTAGCAGGTCCTTCCTCGCGAGCGTCATGCGGCAGTTGAATTCCCATAGGAAGTAGTTGTCCTCTCGCAAGATGTCGTTGGACTCCAACGGCGTTATTGGGCTCATAACCAAAAACGACTTGAGTTTCTTGTTACCGATGCAGCGTAAA